TGCAAAATGTCTAGCAGCTGGAAGAAAGAACAGCTGAGTTACCCATAGAGCATATAAATGACAGTGCAACTGGCAAATACATGGTAATCAGCCAATGCTATTGCAAGGTAGACAGCACTAAACATTTGTATAAGGGATAATAAAATAATGGTGACCAAAAGTGAAAGAATAACTGTGCATATAGAAGCATATGTAGTCTCTTATGTTTTACAGAAATTCATTTTTCTCCCCTGCATCTGATACTGTCTTGTAAAAGAACTGTGTCTGTCTGTTCTTCAGCAATGATGAAAAAAAAATCTCGGCTTTGGTGTCGAAGCCAAAGATGAATTCCACCAGTTCATTCTCTAATTAGGGTACTGATAGAGCATTCAGTCATTCTGTGCTTATAGCGTTCCTCAGTTATGTCTTCACACATTTCAAAGTAGAAAAAACATTGCACCAGTTGTAATGTTTTCAGGGGGGTTGTGATAATTTTGAGGAGTCTTGTTTTTTTACTTAAAATTTGTTTCACACTGTTTTGTCCCAATGAAAATAACAGCAGTTAAACAGATTATGTATCTCTTATAAGAGCTGCATGTCCATACAAATTCTGATCACATTCCTTACTTATTTTCTTCCCCCCTAGAATTAGGTACTTACTTACTTACTTACTTACAGAGCTGAGCCCTTCTTGAGAAGCCAAATCTGCAGCTACTCATGAATTTCCCAGCATTTTATGGAACCCGAAGGTTTATTACCATGTTCACAAGAGCCCTCCACTGGTCCCTATCCTGAGCCAGATCAATCCAATCCATACCATCCCATCGTATCTCTCTAATATATTGTCCACCCACCTATGCCTTGGTCTTCCCAGTGGTTCTTTCCTTCTGACTTTCCCACCAATATCCTATATGCATTCATCTTCTTACCCATTCGTGCTACATGCCCTGCCCTGCCCACCTCATCTTCCTATATACTGCCATATTTAACTCATTATCAGGGAAGTAACACATATTCTCTAAATGGTTTAACATCATCCAACTTAGTAGAAATCAGGTAACCACCATGTGAAAAACTTGTCCAGAATGTACAGCAGGTGTGTCGTAGCTTCCTCCATACCCTGACCCTAATCATTCTAAGTAACTTTTCTTGGTTTAAGAGCAGGTTGTGTTGTCCTTGTTAAGAGCCACTAATTCATCAGTCCACTCCGAAATATTTGCAATGACAGTGTGGAAAGCAGTGATTGACTTCATAGTTGTACCTACTACAGTTATCTTTGTAGATTTTAGTATGGAATATCTACTCCTTGCAAAATACACATGATTCATTACTGGTTATGGAATTTAAATTAACGCTTCAGCAAGCCTCAGTGCTCTGGTGGCTACAGGTAAGGAACATTGCTTTGTAGTATTATGTTAGTAAGGAAATAGTTCATGACAAAAATTAGGCCAATATTCAAGGGGAGATAACAAAGCCGGGTCTCAGGTATTTATATTGCTGTAGTTATACTGACATGAGTTCTCCATGAGAGACCCAACAGAGTAGGTGTCACCCCCTCACCTGAAGATGGAAACAGATTCAGTTTCTGAAATGTTGTCTCTAGTTTTTAGAATACTGGACAATGGCCAAAACACAAAAAGCCAGTAATTCTGACAGTCAGTACCTCTGTAGCTCTACTTGAGACTGTTGGTGGCAGAGGTGGCCTACTTGAATTCAGTTGGAAAAAGCATACCAGAGTTGCCATTTAACAAGACTGACTTTGAATGGAGTAGGTCTACTGGTAGTTCACTTCAGCACTGATGACTATTAGATTGCACTGCAAATGTTATCACAAAAATATTCCTTGGTGGTGTGAGCAAAGAAGCAGGTTGATGAATGAAGCAGCCATGCAGAGGGGCAGAGAGGAAGATGGAAATTCTGGCATATCAGTAAGTCATTAAGAAAGTAATGCCTCTTTATTTTTGTATCTTGATGTCCTGTCCATTCAAAGTTTACTGTAAATGTGATCAGGCACATAACATAATATCATAACTGTTATACTGGCTCCTGAATTTCAGCAGAGAGGAGATACTGAATTACTGGAAGAATATTTGTGGTAACCATTCATGTGAGCATCATTAGACATCAGATGACATGACAAAAGTGACATTGGTGACAAGCATCTGCATTGTAACAACAAAAAGTACCATACAACCACATGCACATGCTCAAAACTTTTATATTCAGAACTTTATACTCATGTTAACAAGATTAATATTGAATTTAACGACAACAATAATTGAAGTAGTATGAACAGTTGAATTTGTTGGTCTACAGACTGATAACAGTTTCAATTACATAACACAGTGAATACTGAGGTTGATTCTAAAAATGAGTAGTTGGATGCTGAAGTAGTTGTCCTGAACATTTCAAGTCAGTTAAAATGTACTGTCATTCTTACCTATGAACAAACAATTTATTTTATATTGTTGTTATCATTGTCATTCTAAAGGGTTCTGACGATGGTGGATGACACACAGAATTACTGGGGTTTTTTACTTTTTCCATCGTTCAGAAATCTAGGTAAAAAGGACATGACGTTTCGGAAACTGGATCTGTTTATGTCTTCAGGTGAGAATCACTGGGAAACTCCTGTCAGATTTACCCAGCTATTTCAACATATAGGCCTAGGCTAGTTCAGTGGGCAATAACAAGAAATCATAAAATAAAATATGTGATAGAGCATGCACATGCGTGGAACTAGGATAGAAAAGTGTTTGGTCAATATCAATACTTACATACATCAACATCATAATGTCATGAATATAAAATCTGATCCTTTAACATTTACAACAATGTGGATGAATACATTAAAATATTTATAAATTATTACAATTAATCTGTTTACAAATGTGGTTTAAAAAGACTTTGTTAAAATTTAGAACCAATTTGATTTGTGTCCTTTATACTGCTTCTCTTTAAAGGAAGTTGTGTGTCTTCCATCTCGTGGTTCCGTTGTTTGATAAATAGGACTCTTTTATGTCGTGTTGTTTGGGCCACCACAGACTGTAATGCCTCTTGAAGAGGTTGACAGATACCATGTTTGTGTTAGATGTTCTATATGCAATGAAGTTGAGATCCTTTTCAGCTGAATGATAGTTTATATCCAGGTAGTTTCCTGGTCCTCCCACTATAATAATATGATGTTGAACGGTAAGGCCTTTACCAAGGTTCCCAGGTCAACAACCTTTGCAAGAGTAGCACTTGGTTTCATATGCTACATATGTCAAATTGAGTGTCCATGTTTTCTTGATGCTTGGATTCAGTTCTCCTCTTATGACTGCTTCCCAGGAATAAGAGTTTCTTTCATATTTCTTTCTTTCTGACTTCCCTATGTTTACTTTTACTTTCATGTCAGACCTCCTTGTATCCATCTAGGCATGAAATTCCACATTGAGGTTCATAAAATTTATTAACTCTAGATGCTTTAGACATTTCTTTTCAGTCTCAAATATATCATATCATATATAGGGAAATTTGAAAACTGTTTGAACTGTCAAAATTTTCAACATTCAAGATTTTGATTTTTTGAAGAATATTCAAGATCAGTAATAAGTTTTGATTTCTGTAATTTTTCGAATATTTGAAGCTAATTAGGTTTTGATATTTTTTTTAAATATGCAAATTCGTTAATTTTGTAAGTTCTAAATTTTCTTAATTTATAAGAAACTCCTGAGTTTTTATATTTCCAATATAGTATGTTTCGAAGTTCCAAAATTTGTCTAATTTATTGTATTTTTAAATAAATCAACTCACATATCACAGCACAGCTGATCTCACACAAGTCAGTTTGTTTGAATCATATTAAACATTGACCTTGTCTTCTCCAGTCAGGAATAGTTCACAAGAGGCTGTGCTGATTTAGTTGGTTGAGTATTTTAAAAATTGATATTAGTGGATAGATTTACTCTCTTTCAGCTATTCCTCACATTTGTTGAGAGGTCACCAGGAGCAGATACCATGATTTTGATCAAGTGTGTTTTCAATTCACTAATTTGATTATGAAATGCTCACCTGCATTTTAGTATGCATGTATAAACTCCATATACAGTACAAACTTGTATATGCCCATAATGTTGTGTGAGGCAATATCAATTGTGTTGAAGGTCAGAAATACTTTACATATATAAAATCAAATCAGAGGAATGCATTCAGGGTTTTGGTGGGAAAGCCAGGAGGAAAGAGACCACTCGGAAGACCCAGATGTAGGTGGGAGAGTAATATTGTCTCAATTGAGGGGTGTGACTATAGATGGAGTATGGATGGGATATTGGATTTACTGACCACTCAGAACTATACTTTAAAGATCACTGACACGCAGATTGGTGTGCTCAGTCTATTACAGTTCCCCCTAGTTGTTTCCTGGCAACAGATTTAACACAGTAGAAATTCTGCTGTGCTCAGGTCCTCTTATCACAGTCGCCTATGGAGAACTGTCAAGTGACAACTCAACTAACAGGGTCCCAAGATGGCAGTCATTTCACATCAACCTTCTCTTCTCTTCACAGGCTGACTTTCAGCTGACTTGGGGTCCTCACTATATAGCCTCGGGGTGGCCCCAACAGAAAACACCACCTCCAGCAATCCTTCTATTGTCATGGGCAGGTGCCTAGTGATGGACTGGATATCATTTCTGCAGGAACACATTTACTGAACTATTATCAAGCAACACATGTTCCTTCTCACTGTCGTTGCAATGGTACAGCATGTTACAATATTAAAATGTATCTTAGACAAACAGGAGAGGGTGGTATGGACTAGAGTCATTGGGCTGAGTATAGGTACCAGTGGTGGGCTCCTGTGAAGATGGTAATGAACCTTCGGGTTCCATAAAATATGTACAGTTTGCAGATTTTGATGAAACTGATGAAGTGAGCTCCAGCTGGTCTTTGTTGTCAAATACATGTAGTCAGTTTGTACATGCTAACTCCTCCATACTGGAATAATGAACTTGCTGTGCCAGCTATATAATAGACATGTAATTGAGAGTTACTGATCGAGAATTTATTTACACATAATTACTTAAGATTTAACATATGGTTTCTCTTGTGATCAGAACACACAGGAAAGTAAGTTGAAAGGACTATGTTATATAGGATTTGAGTTTCTTGTGGTGGAAGTTATGAAGCAGTCTATCTTCTGGGATCTAATGCCATGTAGTTTGGTGAAAGCTGGCTGATGTTTCAGAGGAACCTGTTCGTTGGCTTTCGTTGGATTACATGGCGTTATATCCTAGAAGACAGAATTTGACCATGTTATTTTGAACAGCATTTCCATACAATCAATACATCACAGTTTCAAGCAACATTTAATTTCAAACTACAAAATGTACCCACATATTTTTAAATATCTTGAGTTTAACATCAGCATATACAATCATCTGTCATTCAGAGCACTTGTTAACGTATCATTTAAGTGCAAATGGTTTCACCAAGTTGACAGAGAATTCCTTCACTTGCTCTACACCTCGCACCTCATGATCCAGAAGTGGTAGCTTAGTAATATGGAAATCTTCATATAGATCTGAAATCTGTAAATACAAATATTTATGAATTTGTAATTATTTAATGATGCTGTCAATGACTGAGACTATATAGCATAGAATGATTGGATGACAGTGAACTGGATTGTATAGGAGGATGGACAAAATAATGGAAACATTAAAAAACCAAGGAATAGAATTTGTCTGTTAGCTACATTGAAAGAACTTCAAATGGCAACACTGAGTGTTCTTCCATTTGTTTACACTCTGTAGTGATTGTGTTGAGGGAAATGGAAGACTTGTCTAATTTTGAAAGAGGACAGACAATTTGTCCACATTTAGCTGGAGTATCTGTGACAAAAACTGACAGATTATTAGGTGTTTCAAGAGTGACAGTTTCTAATGTTATGTTGACATACACAAATCATGGGAAGACAACATAAGTGAAGAGGAACAGTGGGCGAAAATCAACACTGACGGAAAGAGACCTTCATACATTGAGAAGGACTGTTTCGAAAAATCACAGAACTACTGCAGCACAGGTGACAGCAGAACAGAATATTTATCTTGAGGAGCATTTCCACAAAAACTGTCTGACGTGAGCTTCCCAAATCCAACTTCCACAATAGGGCTGCAATTGCTAAACTCCCATTTACCGAAGTAATGCTCAGATGCGTAAACGATGGTGTCACAACCATAAAGCAGGGACATCAGACAACTGTAAATGTGTGTGATGTGGTCAGATGAGTCGTCCTTCAAGCTGTTCCCTACATCAGGGAGAGTTTATGCTTGGAGAACACCAGGAAGTCTACAGTGTGGAATGCCTGGTTCCAACAGTGAAACACAGGAGAGATTATGTGATGGTTGGGGAATATCATGGTATGCTGTTGGTCCTATTATTTACCCTTCATGGATGAATTCGTTCGTTCATTCATTTCATTTCTATTAATCCAGGCTGGTACAACCGTTGGAAATAGAGGAAGTCAAAAAACATGCAGTCATAAAAAGATTTTGTCAAAATTAAATATAAGATTAACAAGCAAATATAAATACTACAAGGTAATAATTTTAAAAAATTATAAATATAGATAATATTTTGAATTACTAAACAGATAAAACAATTCAAATTACAACAAGGGAGTATAAACAGGTTGGGTAATAAGCGCATTCCCATGATCTGGACATTATTTCCAAACAACACTGCAGTTTTCCAGGATGACAATCCCCCACTCACACAGCTGGAACTGTTCAGTCATGGTATGAAGAGCATGAGAGTGAACTTCAACATCTTCCCTGGCCAACATAATCACCAGATTTGAATATCACTGAACTACTCTGGTCACTTTTGGAGATTAGACTGAGGAACAGATTCCCACCTTCAACATCTCTAAAGCAACTTGAAGATGTTCTTCAAGAAAAATGGTATAAAATTCCACTAGAGACTGTTCAAAACTTGTATGGACCAGTCCAAGAAGGATTACAGCTGTATTCATTCATTCATTCATTTACATTCCATGGATCCTTATATGGCTGAAAGACCAGTGGATATAGAAATAGTCAAAGACAACAAGACAAGTCCCATGAATTATATAGATAAAAATTAAATATACTTAATCCATAACAATTACACATGTTATCCAAGACAGATCACAATGAGTAAATCATTAAACAGATATAAAATATATATGTAAAAGCAAGCAATATACTAACGTGAAACAAGACTACAATAATCAAGCATAAAAACATACTACTAGGGATCCAGCGTACAACAGACAAAGATCATTAATTAATATTGAAGTTAAAATATTCTTCCAATGAGTAAAATGAATTTAAAAGTAGAAATATTTTTAAGATAAATCTATATCGTTTCATGTCATGAGCTAAGTTCTTTATGATAGAAGGCAGATTATTAAAAACCTTGATTCCAAAACAGTATGTTCCGTCTTGAAATACTGTTAAATTACATATTGGATAATGAAAACTGTTAAACAGTTTTGTTTTTAACCATAAATAACAAGAGAGAAAATATGTACCGTGATTGAAGAGGCAAAATTTTCAGTTTCATAAATAATTTCCTGCTAGAGTCTCCACTTCTAGAATTAGTAATAATACTAATTACCCTTTTCTGTAGCCTAAAAATATGAATTCTATATTGAGATTTGCCCCAGAATTGTATACCATAAGTCATAACAAAATGGAAATATGAGAAATAAATCATTCTTATTGTTTTTTTGTGACATACATACATACTTGTATAAGGTTTAACAGCCCTTACTGCATAACAGGCCAAACCTAATTTACACATAAGCCAGTCAGCATGTCCTTTCCACGACAATATATTGTTGATAACTAATCTAAGAAATTTGGTATTAGTAGATTTAGCAATCTTATTGTTACCACAGTCAATATGCATGTCCATTGGACATTCTGAGTAAAAAATTGTATAAAATATGTTTTATCAAAATTTAGTGTCAATAAATTAGCTTTAATCCAGTCACTTATGTTTTTAAATATTTGCATTATGTTATTTTCATAATCTAAAGGGTTGGAATTCATAATATTTATGCTCGTGTCATCTGCAAAAAGAACAGGTTTGGATTTACTAATTATAATGTTTGCCAAGTCATCTATATATAAAAGAAACAATAAAGGTCCTAGAATCGATCCCTGGGGAACACCATTATTAACTTTCCACCATCCAGAATGAATGTGCCAGTTATCGATTACAATCCTTTGGTATCTGTCTTTGAGATAGGATTTTACCAATGCATTGGCCTTACCAACTATTTCATAAAATTGTAGTTAGTAAAATATCATGATTGACACAGTCAAAAGCTTTCGTCAGATCACAGAAAATGCCACTGACTAATATTTTGTTATTCAATACATTTCGTATAACATTAATTAATATATATGCGGCCATTTCTGTAGATGAATTACTCCTAAAACCATATTGTTCATTTGCTAATATGTTGGTGCAGTCTTGCATATATAACCTTTTCAAAAACTTTTGAAAATGATGTCAGTAATGATATAGGTCTGTAGTTAGTCATAGTTAGTCGTAGTTTTATCTCTGTTTTTAAATAATGGTTTTATTTCTGAATATTTCAACTGAGTGTGGAAGAGATCTGTTACAAATATAAGTTAATGGGGAGCTAATGAAAGGCACGCTGATTTTTAAAATTCTAACCAGGATTTCATCATAGCCCTTAGAATTGTTTGGTTATAAAGACTTAATTATATTTGCAACTTCTTTAGTAGAGGTATGGCTGAGTTTAATTTTAGGGAAGGAAGTCATGAAAGCTTGAGACAGGTAATTTAAATATTTGTCAGTATCAGACTCTATAATGTGGCCAATGTTTGCATTATTGGTATTAATTTTGTCAGCTATAGCTAGAAAATAATTATTCAAGAATCTGTAATCATATGATAATTATCAGTTATTTCCCATCACGGTTTAAAAACTGTATACCCGCATTATTAATTTTTCCACCTGTGATTGATTTTATAATGCTCCAGGTGCTTTCCATTTTGTTACTAGAATTATAAATTAATCTATTGTAATGAGGACTTATAGCTGCTTGAACAACATTGGCCAAAAATTTGCAGTATGTTTTATAATAATATTTTAGATTTGGATCATTACTATTCCTAAGAGTTAAACAGAGCTCTCTTTTGTGCTAACATGAAATCTCTATACCACCTGTCATCTAGGGATTATATTTTTTTTAATCTTAACTTTTTGGGTGGGCAGAAGTTGGAGTAGAATATTCATAGGTAAGTACTGAGAAAGGAGTTGAATACTGTATCAACATCCTGATCAATGAAAATATTGTCCCAAGTTTCATAATTTCATTGAATCAAAAACTCATTCATAGAGGACTTATTAAATTTCCTGACTAATTGGGTGCAACTGTTATGTTTCTGTAAGTTAATATTATTTATGCATATAATCTGGCCATCAACATCCATAAATTTACTTGGACATCTCCTGATGGGAAGATACACAATCAAATCGACCATATTTTGATAGATAGGAGACAGCATTCAAGTATACTTGATGTCCAATCATTCAGGGCAGCAGATTGTAATACTAACCACTACCTGGTGGTGGCAAAGTTTAGGGAAAGACTGGCAGTGAGCAAACAACGCACAGAGTTCATGTGGAGAGGTTCAATCTAAAGAAATTAAATGAGGTAGAGGGTAAAGAGCGGTATCATGTTGAAATCTCAAATAGGTTTGCGGCCTTGGAAAACTTGGACCCTGAGATGGATGTTAATAAAGCTTGGGATACTATTAGAGAAAATATCAAAATTTCTGCCAAGAAGAGTCTAGGTTATTATGAACTGAAGCATAAGCCAAGGTTCGATAAAGGATGCTCAAAATTACTAGACCAAAGAAAACAAGCCAAACTGCAATGGTTACAGGATCCAAGCAAAATACATAGGGATAATAAGATGTGAAACCAGCAGTCATTTCAGGAATAAAAAGAGGGAATATCTGAAATACAAAACTGATAAGCTTGAAATGAACAGTAAGAACAAGAACATTAGAGACTTGTATAGAGGAATAAATGACTTTAAGAGGGGTCACCAACCAAGAAGTAACATAGTGAAGGATGCAAATGGTGATCTGCTTGCAGATTCCCACAACATTTTGAATAGGTAGAAGAACTACTTCTCTCATTTATTGAAATGTACATAGGATCAGTGATGTTAGGCAGACAGAAATCCATACAGTGAGCCATTAGTACCTGATCCTAGGCTTCTTAAGGTTGAAAGTGCTATTACAAAATTTAAATGGTATAAATTGCCAGGTAGTGATCAAATTCCGGCAGAACTTGATCAAGCAGGAGGCGAAATATTACATTCTAAAATCCATAAGCTAGTTAATTGTATTTGGCATAAGGAAAAATTTCTTGATCAGTGGAAAGAGTATTTTATTGTACCAGTTCACAAGAAGGGTGATAAAACTGACTGTAGTAATTATCGGGGGATATCACTGCTAATGTTTTAAATATTTGGGTAGCTTGTTAACAGATGATGGAA